TATGTTCTAGCCGATAAATCGAATTGCATCGATGCAATATTTCGATGTATCACAACGAAAAAAACATCAATGTGTTTTTTTCACATCCCTTCCTAAAATGCTTAATTTGCTCTTAATACTTGTCATCTTCATTTCAAAACCAAATGCACTATCTTTAGTAAAAAAAAATTGCATATATGTTTTACGCAAATTACTTACTCAGTCATTAAGTACCAAATTAAACAAAATGCAAATTTAGGCAAAAACCGCAAACCGCGATGAAAGGACTTATTTACATATCGCACACCGTCTTCAAAAGAGGCACAACTAAAAAAAAAATTGGCATAAATCAATTGGTAGGACTTTTCTGGCTCAGCGAATAAAAGCCTAACGAACTAACGCCTAATTTTTCGAAATGAAAGAATGCCTAAAAAAGAACGCCTAACAAGAAAGTGAAAGAACGTCTAACTTTAAAAATGAAGGAAAGCCTAATTTTAAAAATGAAAGAAAGTCTTAATTGTTAGGGTTTCTTTCATTATGAAATAACGCCCAATGAAAGAAGGCCTAACAATCCGAATAAAATTCTTAGAACTTTAAGAAAATATATTTTGGAAGGAAAAAAAACGTATTTTTAAATTATATTGAACTATAAGTTATGTAAATACAGTTAAATTTTCAACAACTATAGCTCTACATAGAGGGCATTTCAGAAAGTTTTCAGCTGCGCTAACTTTTAGCTCATTATGACAGTTCGAGCAAATTTTTAAATGCCGACATGGCAAAAATAATATATTTGGCTTTGAAACCAAACACAACACACATCGCACTATTACTTTCGCCAAAATAATTATTTGCTATGTTTGCATCAACAGTCTCGTCGCCATCATTATTTTCATCCTCGCTATCATCATCATCCTCGTTATCACTGTCATAAGGAAGTCCATTGGTTTCAAATATGTCTTCATCTGGTTCTAGGTCAACACAAATTTTATTTTTTCCGAAAACCATTGATGAATACAAATATGCAAGAATTATTTACACCATTCATGATTTATTATGAAAAGCAATGGTTGCGAAAGGTAAGTTCCCTTTTACAAAATGTTAAAATGAAGGTATTAGTTTTGCCTTTTACAAAATGCAAACACCACCTTGTAAACATTCCGTAAAAGGCAAACAATCAAAAATTGAATAAATACTTAATTAGGCGTTTCTTCATTTTTCATTGTTAGGCTTTCTTTCATTATGACGAAGCACCTAACAATTTTAATGAAGAAATGCCTAAAATGTTAGATATTCTTTCATTATGAACAACCGCCTAATTCCTATATGAAATATTTAGGCAATATTTCATTTTTTTTTAGGCGTTAGTTCGTTAGGCCTTTATTCGCTGAGCCGACTTTTCTCAAATTAGTGCAAATGTTTCTTCATGATTATATCTCTAACTAGAAAATTACTGTTATACCTGTTCTTCTATTAATTGAGTTGAATCTGTACGATCCACAAGCAGTTATATTTCCGCATCTGATTTTGGAATTGTGCCTCTTTTGAAGACAGTGTGCGATATGTATTATTGGGACAATCCATGGCAAGTGTTATATCTTGTCTATGTCACAATTTTGCGGTCAAAGTAATGAAATATGCGCATCTGAATGCAAGGAAGGGAAATTATTTTTATTTGGATATTCTTCGTATAAATTTTTTTGTTATAAATAATTTCACAACACATTTTCTTTACAAAACTTAATAATGCAATCGATTTTATGTATTTTAGTGACATCGCCGGCTTTTACAATTTCCGTTCGCCTGTGTTCCTGGTTCAAAATCCAGAGTGTATTAAAAAAATGACTGTGAAGGACTTCGACCACTTCGTAAACCATACACCTTTTTTCAGTGGTGATGATGACCCACTCATTAATGGTATGTTGACCGTCATGAAGGATCAACGCTGGAGGAATATGCGTAACACACTTTCCCCAATTTTCACCACCTCAAAAATGCGTGCCATGTTCTGTTTGATGAACGAATGCTTCAACGAGAGCTTGGACCGTTTAAGAGAGAATACTAAAGGCGGCAAAACTATTGATTTGGAACTAAAAGGATGGTTCACTCGACTATCAAATGACATTATCGCCTCAACAGCTTTTGGACTAAAGGTCAATTCTTATGAGAATCAGAACAATGAATTCTACACCATCGGGCTGTCAGTTTCAAATTTCCGCGGCAAGCAAATGATAAAGTTCTTTATTGCAACTACTTTACCAATAATTAAGAAAGTAAGTTCTATGTCTGTATACTACGTAGGATTGAATCAAATTTTTAGGGAAAATTTTTAATTATATTTTTAGATTCTGGGATATAGAATATTTGACGAAGAAAAAACCGATTACTTCAAACGACTTGTTATAGATACGATGAAATATCGTCAAGAGCACAAAATACACAGACCTGATATGATCCAACTATTAATCGAAGCTAAAGAGGAGTCTGATCAAAAATGGTCAGACGATGACATAGTTGCACAGTGTTTCATTTTCTTCTTCGCTGCTTTTGAAAACAATGCCAACTTCTTGTCAGTAATTAGCCACGAGCTGATGGAAAATCCAGATGTACAGCAGCGTTTGTATGAAGAAGCAATTGAAGTGCGTGACGAACTAAATGGAAAACCATTAACCTATGATGCTATGGTGAAGATGAAATACATGGACATGGTCACTTCGGAAACATTACGAAAATGGTCTCTTGCCGGAATGACTGATCGTTTATGTTCGAAGGATTATGATCTCACGGATGATGATGGAAACTTGATAT